AATATTCTTGGTGCAGTTTTGTAAGTCTTGGTTAGCTGGTTCAAGAAAAATTCGTAACTTTTGATATGTAGTAACACGTAAACACGCAATATATAACTGCCTATGTGAGAAAACTGGCTTGGAAATATACAATCCAAAACAGTTCATTGTCTGTTCTTGGGACTTGTGAATAGTTATAGCGAATTCTAGTTGTCACAAAAACTGGCATCACTTAAAAGCAAAAAGTATTGACGAATTTGTTGATAATAACTCGATATGTAGTAAAAACACCCTTTTTTTTTTAAACAGAGCAGTCACATGTTTAGCTTCAATAACATTATTTTGCAAAGTCCTGCAGATAAGCCGTATACTATTACAAAAACTCTTATTAGTATCAATATTTTGGAGTAAAATAATAGGAGACCCTACTTTTAAAGTTAATACATAAGATGATAAGCTGCTAAGCATTAAAGAATTAAGGAATTCTGTAGAGTATATGTCTTCATGCGATAGATTATATATAGCAGAACTTTGATCTAAAGCATCTGCACTATAAAATATTTTTGCTTCTCCAGGGAATTGTACAAGAATTTTAGTATTAAACATATTAACTTCAGAATTATATGGGGCTAATATACTCCTTTTCATTATGTATATTGGGTTATATGTATTCATTTGTAAGTCAGGATATACGAAATCGACTAATTCCTGATACGAATTATTATTATGCATAACAATACTTGGTGGCAGATTTATGATATCGCTATTCAGAACTATTTCAGGTATTCAACCATTTCTAATCATTAGAAGCCAGTTTGCAAAGCTTCTTTGTGAAGCAATACTTAAGGGTCCAGAAAATTTAATGCAGTTTGTAGTCACATATTAATTGTTAATTTTCTCACTTTAACATACTGCTATAAATATGAACTACAAAAACTGGCATTAATAATATCTTCACGTCCACCTTTTGAGACTACTAGAAGAATCTGTCAGAAATTGCCACCGAAAACAACAACTTTACCGCCAAATGGTATGTTTCTATAGTATTGGTCAATAGAACTCATAATATCTCTTATTGTACAATCAATGGCTTCAAATATATAGTGATGCATTATTGGTGCTTCGTCCCAAATGATAAGAGTTGTTTGCATTATAAGCTCTGCAAGATCAGAATTCGCTGAAATATTGTATGTTAAATTCTCATCTGAATCAATAGAGATTTTGAACTGTGAGTATACCGTATGACCTCCATCAAATAATAGGGCAGCAATTCCAAAAAAAGCAACTGCTAGTATAATATTTTTATTTGCTCTAACGTTTGCAAAAAGAATATTGTAAAGGAAGGTTTTGCCAGTTCCTGTAGGTCTGTCTATAAAAAAATATGCAGGATTGTAATTTTTAATTGCTTGTATTATTTTATCGAAGATGACATGTTAATCGAAATTTAAACAGCATATATTCTGTTCAATGAAATCTGTAAGAGTTGGTATATCATAGTTCAACTCGTCATTTAATAGAGTGTTCCCGAATTCACAAACAGATTCTGGACAGAGCATATTTGGAAAATCTTTTAGTGATTTATTCTGCTTTAAAAGAATAGTTTTTAATCGATTTAATGCATCATTTTCAATTTCAGGTTGAGTTAGTTGTAGCTTAGAATTGTGAGATTGGTAACGTATACTAAACAGGATATAATCAGTAAGAGCTACAATATGTTTTGCCTATAGTTTCTCTGGCTTATTAGACTAGCAATTGATTAAAATAACCATAAATAAATGATGAAGCTGATAATCTGAACGTATTTGAGTAGCTTCTTCTAGGCAACGATCCTATTCAAGATCATCTTGTAATAGTTCTAATGCTCGACAAGCATTTTTGAAGGTTTTATATATAAAACTATTCATAGTTTTTAGATGATCGAATGATTGTACTCTACATACAACACTCATTAATAGTCGCAAATAAAATTGCTTTCCTGCTTGGGGATATACAAAATACATGCGACCGATCGAATTGCCTCGAGCTCGTGTTGCCATTTTTTTGTTTTTTTGTTAAAAACAAATGCCAGAAAAATTGTGCATATGTATATCTACTTGCTAATGCAGTGAGTGCTGAGTTTTAGTTAGCTTCAAACTATACTATTAAAGTTGTTTTTTCATTTAGGGCTCATTGAATTATGGCATCAACAGAATCGTTGTCAGAAAAGGTGACCATGTGTTGCCCAGGAAGGTATACAACTAAATGCATAATATCAGGTAATTCATTATGCATTTTGTAGTACATTATTCTCCAAAATGCCTCAGATGCCGATACATAACGTGCATTAATGTATTGTTAGATTTCATCAAGTATTTTTGTAGTTAATGATTCTACATTGTTATTACTGCTAATCGTTATGGTTGCTTTATCATGGCCCTTATAAACATACTTAAACAGGTATTTTACAGTATGAATTGAAGAGCAAATTTCTATATTAATATGGTATTGATACTTTTTACAAAAATAAAGATTATGCAGAACTACCCAGTGGTTATCAAGTAGAACTTCTTTTACTTGCACTAAACGTTCATTACAGTGGTGTCTATAAATCAGATATCTATCATCGTTTTGGCAAGTGACTGACTGAAAATTTTTTGGGTACAACTTTGAACACTTTCTGTCTTGCATATATGGGACATTCTTGTTGCTTTGCCTGCATAGTCCATACATTATACATTTTATTCTGGTACCAGAAGACAAACCCCGCACTACTGAAGATTATGATCAGATTGTGTCAGCAGAAATACCAGATTCTGTTAAATTTTCTGAAAAGCATGAAACTATAATAAACAATATATAGCGTGCAGCAAACTATACACCTGTACTTCAATGACATGCATATAACCAAGTACATACTGTATTCAAAAATTCTTTTTTTTAAAATTTCTTCAAGTAATGCAGTTAATTTTAACCAGAATACTTGTACGCAAAGGTTTGGATAGTTTTGAGCCGTTTGACCTGACAGTAATTTAGCTTGAATCTCAGACCATTTTGGATTACAGGTCATGATTATAAAAAGATCCAGTTTGCCTAACTATCTAACAATGATTATAGCATCTTGATACAATTGCTTTATATATCAAGGGCCACCATTAAAACTTGATGGAAATATTATTCAATGACTAATATGAAGTTCAGGTGGTAGTTCATCATTTATTAATAGTACGTTTTGAGGTCCACTATACAGTTCGGCATGAATTGTTTTCTGGTTAAATCTCAAATAGTTCAACCTGCTTTGTTTGATATATGCATAAACATTGACAATATATTGTTGAAAAAGATGACCAGACTTGTGTAGCACAAAAAAATTATTAGGTTCATGATTTCGCAGGTATAATTGATATGCATAATATCGTATTATTGACACATGACCTCTAATATTAACTTCGTTTGTAGTATTATTATCATTTTCAGTATTCTTATCAGTTGTAGCGCAGTTTGTAGTATCATCATCATTCACACTAATTAAATTGTTGGTTATAGATATCTCTTGTTAGTCTTTTAGACAAATACCAATATATCTATATATTAAAAATTTTGATCATCAACGCATGCGTCTGTCGTTACACAAACTTATAGCTATCTGTTAC